TCATCACCCACAAGGGGCGGAAGGTCTCGTATGTCCAGCCCGCTGAAGCTGGCTCGAAGGAAGCAGCGTTAGCATCTCAAAAGAGACGAAGTGACAAGGAGGGACAGGTGAAAAGCAACAGAAACGAAGACACTCGAACAAGAGGTCGCTTACACGGGACGTCGGCCGCCCGCACGAGAGAGACAGAGAAGGGAAATACCCCACAACTGAGACCTGCAGTCAGACACCGCGAGCTCAGCGGTGGGGCGCTCAGGAACAATCCCCCTAGGAGCGCGAAATCCCATAGGACTTCTGACGGGTACAGACAGCCGTCAGAAGTCCCCCCTGAGGGGAGATAGTTTATAGACAAATGAGCAGTAATAAAATTCAAAGGCAAGTCATTAGTTAAAGAAATCTCAACAAGACAGAAATTTAGGTTCATGGCGAAAACATAGATAGCGGAGAGACACAGTGTGACACACAACGAAAATGTGGATGCTACGTAACGCAAAAACGCAGCTTAATAAATTGAAATGTTTATTCCAGTAGAAACGAGGGTATCAAAATACGGCGCAAAATAAGAATTTTTAATAATTTACCCTACTACATGCAAGTAATGAACAAACGAAATGACAGAGTCGATTTAGTGCACATGCAGCCGCAGAAGAAAAGATAACTTTCATAAGAAAGAAATGTCGCGGCATATACCAATTTAAGCTCCTCGGTTATAATTTGGCAGTTCAGCCATATCTCATGCTCATGACATGAATAATATTTTTAAAAACATATAGTAGATAATTTTTTATTGAGAGACATACAAAGTCCTATAATGATAACAAAAATGTTTCAAAACGTGCTGAAAACATGACATTCGCATCAATGAAACGTTCATTCAGTAATCGAACGATTAAATGAACGTTTAAGCCAACCACACCGACCACAACGGTGGTATCAAAGGGACACCATTCGCACCAATGATGTTGACAACAGCGGTGGTATTAAAGAGACACCATTCGCACCAATGATGTTGACAACAGCGGTGGTATTAAAGAGACACCATTCGCACCAATGAAGACGACAACAACGGCGGTATTAAAGAGACACCATTCGCACCAATGAAGACGACAACAACGGCGGTATTAAAGAGACACCATTCACACCAATGAAGCCGACAACAACGGTGGCATTGAAGGAACACCATTCACACCAATAAAGCCTCAACAGAATTACGGGTCACATTCACCCCCCGACATTCAGGCGAGAGAAAAATTTCTTTGAATGCAGAGCAAGAGAATTAAGCGGCCCCTGGCAATACTTGGGCTTAGTGCACACTGCACAATCAACCTTGAGGGCAGCTGCGCCAGCAAGGAAATTCTACATTCAAAGCATGCACTTTCACTGCCAGTTTATCTCAATCATCCAACACCTATTGCTCTTAATCAATGCAGATAATAAAATCGAATAATAGAGCGTGATGTAAATTCATTCTATATATTTTGTATCGCTGGAAATATTTAAGTTGACAACAGACAATGAGTCATGATGTGCCTCCTAAGATAATATTATTAGGGAAATGTTCAACATTAAATACGCTTTATGCGGGCATCAATTGACACCTAATTTTTTTATTAATGAAGCTGCTTAATCCATAAAAACACTATAAATACACGTGTGACGGGAGATATTGGTGCTTTAATAGATTTCTAAAGCGATGCAAGAGCAACCACGGATAAAAAAATGTAATTTAAACGCAGAAAAAGATGACGGGGTCATCACTGTCGGCGCATGCCATGATGATGATGGCGTGCGCCTTAATGCCATGATAATGACTGTGAATGCTTAATTTGACGCCTTGCGGTATTAAGTGTCATCGTATAATATCAGAGACTGCCAGCATCGTACACTAGAGCATCTTCTTGCTATTTATGCCCGTATTGTTAGTGACATGCAAACTGCGACGACCAGAAGCCTTATATGTGTTTGTTACATCATCGTTTAAAATTATTTACATGCTGCAGATGCAGGATTGGAAGCGTAATGACTGAGTCTTCATTCTTCCGAAAATGCATATATATGAGATGAAGTTAGATCTATGTGATAGTGTATCCACCAACGGAAGAATAAATAAAATTCTGAATGGGAAGCCAATAATGGCGAATTAATGAAGTTTCAAATTAATATCGAAATCAATCTAAATGAGATCAGTTAATTCATCAGTCAACTATGATATGAAATTTGAGGTGGATAAAATTCGATCCAAGTAGTCTCAGCAATAATTATACACGCAAGACTAACTAACACATCGCCATAATCCAGTGGACTATGCACATTTCCAAATTCAAGTAGACTATACACACCACCATATTTAAGTAGACTATACACATTTCCAAATGTAAGTAGACTATACAAACCACCATATTTACGTAGACGATACAGATTTCCAAATGTAAGTATACTATACACACCACCACATTTAAGTAGACTATATCCATTTCCTAATGTAAGTATACTATACACACCACCATATTTACGTAGACTATACACATCACAACATCTAAGTGTACTATACTATACTATATACTATAAGTGTACTATACTACAAGCAAAGTTCTCTCTCACGTGAGGTTTGTATGTGAGGTAGGAACCTGGGCCCATACTTTCAATAAAGTTAGGAGATCGTAAGTTCATCAGCCAATCATTGGCGGCATTTCAAGCAAAATCCACCAATCATAGACAAGAAAATAGAGCGTAAGTACTTACGTTCAGTTAGCGAGTTTGGAAAGTATGGCCCCTGAGGAGGAATGCATGGTTTGCAAGTGCTCTCAAGGCAGGATTTTAGCGATCGTTTGCCTCTTATTTTTTCCGAATTTAGTGATTAATGGCAGTATAATCATAATGCCACTAATGCCATGAAATAAAATTGTAAGATAATGTCATAATGTGAAATAGAGTCAGCTTTTAATTTTGCTTTCAATTGATTAATTATTGCCAAAGATGTGTTCTGTAATACTGTATTAGACTTTGAATACACGGATGAATCATGCAAGTTAATTTTATGCAATACGACGGGGGTTTATTTAAAAGCTGTTGCTGTTACCTGCAAACGCCCCAAATTAATTTCATCTTTCTTCATTTCATCTTCATTTCTTTTCAATTTCATTTATTGCTAAGTAATGGTTTCACTAGCAACACAAGCACAATTTTCTGAAACTGTGCATACCATAAGTCCTATCCTATTAATCCCTAAGCTTCCACAGGGGGAAATAATGTTGAATGTATGTTGTTTTAGTGTCATTTATTTGCACGAAAGAAGCTATCCAAAAGTTGGTCTTATTTCATAGCAAAGCTACACAAGAGACTGGTGTTAGAGAGTGCAATAAACCCTGTGGTGGTGGAGTAGCAGTGTAGCTGATCAGGCGGGGTCACGGACATACGGCATTTAAAAGTGATGCATCAGCGATAGATGCAGGCGCACGAGCATTCTACCAGGCCACATGTCGCTGGTATCAATGCATCATCAGCTACCATCGTCAATCATTCTGCATCATCCGCAACCATCGTCAATCATTACTTATGCATTTTAGTTGTACGTCGTTACCATCCATGCACCCATGTCGCTAGCATCAATGCATCATCAGCTACCATCGTCAATCATTCTGCATCATCCGCTACCATCGTCAATCATTGCTTATATATGAATTTCAGTTGTACGTAGTTGAGCGCGCATTAATCACTTAATTTTAATACGAAATTTTCTTAGTGCAATCGGAGGCCCGTATTGTGTGACCAAGAATAAATGATGCATACGATAATGAACGTATTATGACCACGAATAGTTTCGTCAAAATGTTCCATTTAATAGACTGTCAGTAGATACATGAGTGATGTGCATAAAGATTAATGACACTTCAACGATAGTTGATAAGGAATTAATTTAGATTTGATGAGCGGCCAATCGAGATTTGATGTAAGGCCAATCTAGATTTGAAATAGACCACCGAGCTCTAATTTGCGATCGATCGAAATTTAATGTTACAGAATCGGTAGCAGGCATACGGGCATAAACGGCTCTTTGAGAAAGTCAAGTACTTTTCTCGAGCAAGAGCATGAGGCGGCACCGCCGGCATCAAATGAGCGAGAAAGAAAGCTAATTATTAAAATTTCACATTTTTGCAGCAATAGAAATTACCTAAACGTTGTCAGTAACTCAAACATCAGATTTTGCCCTTCAAGGCCCAATCATGAGCCTTGCATCGAGAGATTGCAGGGCACCGATATGAAAAGTGCATGGTCATCTTTCGTGAGTAAACCGTTATTTTCAATACCCAGCACAGCTTAATGAATAAAATGTAATGAATAAATAAATAAATAAAATATGAAACAATTCTCATTGCCCAATATTCTACAATTTAATATTTCCAGTGCATTTCTCATACACTCTGATTTGTTTCACAGCACGACTAAGTAACGAAGATTGACAGTCGAATGATGACGTTCACTTTTAAATTTAATCTGGCTTGCCGCCAGATTAAATTTGTCGTTTTAATCGCATATTGATAAATTGTTTTGAACCTATATCTAAATAAATTCGTATTAGCGTGTAATAATTTACTCGTCGCTTGCATCGACACAATTTGTAAACATGCTGAATAGGGTGAAAGGTGCGATAGGCGCCTGTTGATCATCACGTACGACATGCATGCTACAGCAGGCAGCAAAAAGTTCTTAGCATCCGGATTCAATTTAAATTATTGTTGCCATTCGAAGATATTTACTTCATGTTGAATCAATCACAATTTAAGGCACTGAGAAATAGTTGAGGGTATGATTGGATTACATTAAAAATTACCAGCCAAAAATACAACATGTTAATTTATCCTAAAAGTGTCTATAGCTTATTTAGGCGCGGATCACCGCCGTGAAGGACCAACTTATAGTAACTAATAAGCGAATTGATTTATTGGGACCATGGTGTTAACTATCCAATAATTAAATTTCAGTGTACAATAAAAATCACTCACCTCGTTAGAAGAAAAAAATTCAGGCGGCGGAGACATGCTCTTACTGAAGCGTCTATAGAACAGGTTGTCCAGAGGACCAGGTGCCTCGCTGGAACTCTTCCGGGAGATGATCGAAGTAGAATTTCTTTTGGCTAAAGGCGGACGCTCCGAGCGCGGAGGAGAAGCGCGAGACACAGAAGAAAACTCACGAGATGGCGAGGTCCTTTTGTCGCGACCTGGCGCCAGGAAGGACGAAGTGAGTTGGTCATTGTACTTGACCACATTGAAGTTGGACGGGCATCCGCGGGATGGAGAAGGTCGAGGAGGGATTGTTCTGGGAGGCGTAGTGCGCGTAACATTCGAGCGAACTGGAGATTTGGAAGTACGAGGTAGAGTAGAACTGCCTTCCATTGAGCCTCTACGCACCGGGGACCTACGATCGTCTTGAGCAGAATCCCGTCGCACAGGAGACGAGCTTGCTGACTTTCCTGGAGAACTCGACAGCTCATCTTCTTCCAAGATGCTCGAGTCGTACAGCGAGAGGCGATTAACTCCTGGCAGACAGTCGACATCTAACGAGTCTCTCTGGAATCCTATAGAATTACGATTCCTTGGGGTATCAGAATCGGTCGAAGCCCTCCGAAGAACCACGCCATTGCTAGAATCCGCCGAAAGTTTAGGCGGTGACAAGAAATCCCGGCGAGGTGAAATACGAGAAGTTCCATTTTGTGTACGACTGGACCCAAGAGCGGATGATCCATTGGTGCTGTTCCTGCGGTCAAGAGACCCATACAATCCTGAAGTGCTTCCTTTTCGGTCGTTTACAGCGCTGTTGCGACGTGACGACGACGGTGATTGAGAAGGAGACTGGCTGAACCGTCGTTCTGAGTTCAAGATGTTGTTGAGGCTCGCGCGACGGAGATCAGCAGTAGCCGAGCTCGATTTTCGATTTCCTGTTACATCCGTGACACTGAACGGAACACCGGGAGTCGGTGAAACAGATGACCGTATTTTGGGGTTCAAATCTGAAAGCTGAGTGACAGACGTAGATCGTCGTTCAGAGGCCAGTCCTCCGTCGATGGAACTGCTATTTGAGAACTTGCGATCACTAAAGTAACTACCAGAACTCGCTCTTCGCTCATCGAAAGCTGCTCTCCCGTTATTGCTGAGCACGCTGCTTCGACGCCTTTCAACCCCACCTCCGTTGAGGATAAACCGTTTTTCCCCGACCAGGAACCTCTCACCCATGCTCCCCCGACGGTCACTGCTACCTCCATTGCTGGGCTTGCGCGAGGGGTAGCCAGGACTGCTACCTCGACGATCATCGAATAGGCTTCCCTTGCGTCGTGTATACCCGTGCTCCTTGCAGGTGGACGAATCGATGTACGAGTCTCGTCTTTCATTTTCAGAAGCTCCCTCTCGACACCTTCTGATGTCATCAAATAGTCGGTTTAGTTGCTCAGCAGCTGCAGGGCTCGACATGTTGGATTTGCCTAGTTCGACACTCGGAGATCGTCTTTTAATCTCAGAAGAATTTGCCTTTGTAATTAGCGTGCGATTTACGGTGTTATCACTAGTTGAGTCAGCACATGGTTTAAATCGAGTTTTATCACCTGTATTCAAAGAGTCGCTGGAGTTCAACTGATTCACGTCAAGGTCTACTGTTATTGTAGAAACTTCTGGGAGATTGCAAGTTGCAGTATCAGATATTTTGTAACGCAAATGACGGACAAGTTCAAACTTAGGTTCGGGATCTTTAGCAACAGAATGCATCAGACTGTAAAAACACTATTATTATTATCTGAAAATGTAAAACAATTAAAAAACAACATAAATAAGTTTTCTCATTAACAAGTACCGTATCCGATTTTTTAATGAAAAGACGTTAAATCGAATCAAGACATAGAGAATTAGACCTATTTAAGCCACATATGCAGAATAAATTCATCAGTCAGCCTTACTGCGGAGACGCGCGTTCTACCAGCAACGTATCCAAGCTAAAGACGACAAAAGATAGCATTTCTAGCTTATCTTTTGATGCTATCTTGGGAGCAATTTGACAGGACTATGAGCATGCAAAGGCCCCAAATAGAATGGAAGCCCTCAGCAGCAATCAGTAACTGCCTTGTCAACTTGAAGAAACACTGTGAAAATAAAAAAAATCTTGCGATAATTGCAAACAACACTTGAAAAAAAGCAGATTTCAGACGCCGGAACGCGATAGCCGTGATAAAAAAGCGGTTGTTACACTTATGTGGATGCCTCAAGTTGGAATCTTTGTTTGTCTATATAGGGTGAAGATCTGGAGAAAGTAACCCCGTTACCCGTAAGCAGAAGTTCAGAGGGCAGATTGAGTATAATTTGAGACCAGCGAATTCCAAGAAAAGTGAAAACTAGGCATAAAATTAATGTCAATCCTTCATTTGCAAACGGTAATTGATTAGATGATCTTCAAATACAAATAGCATGAAGACCAATCAGGTATAAGCAGACTTAAGGTCAATTCTTTCGCGGCGCAGTGTACGTCAAAAGCTTGTGTGGAATCTCGGCCGGATTATTTGCAGCAGCCACAATTAAGGCCAAATACCGAGCATCGATATAATCAAAAGATCTCTTATTGGGACGATACATAGAGAGCAGGCAGCCAAAAGCTCCAAACCAATCACCTATAATAAATTTAACGAGAAAGCGAACAAGTTTAGCGGCGATAGGGAGACAGTATTTACTTACAAACAATATCTCGTCGTAAAGTGATAAGAATACAGTCCACGATCAAAGAAAAAGTGCCCGACTAGAACAGGTTAAGATCATTCGAGCGAAAATAAAATGCTTTTCTAGTTGAACTAAGAGAGACCAGATTGTACAGGCAATCATCTTTAAAATCAAGCAAACAGATCTAGGCAGGATGGTAGTCATGACACACCTGTTGGAAAGATAAAAAAAACGCAGGCGCCTTATAGTGCGATTGCGTGTGCGGCTGAACCTGTCGGGCAGCGTTCCACGCGCTCACACGTTACCATTAGAGTGCTAATACATCCAAGCTCTCCTCAAGCCCGACTAAGATATGCGTTTCGAATTTCAAATTTGAACCTATAATAAATTCGCTTAAGGAGCATACTTTAAGTGAGTGGAGTTCACAACACAAGTGGATTCTGAATATAAAACGCCGATAATATTCTGACGATGAAACAATGTACCGCCTCAGTAACAGATCGAAAGAGAGTCAGTGCAGAGGAATTCAAAGCAGTAGAAACAGTGCAGTGAACTTCAGGAAAGAAGACAACGCAGCAAAAGTCAGTGCAGAACGAATAGTATTAGTAGAATTCAGCATCGCAGAAGTTAGTGCAGCAGAATTAGTGCAGCAGTCAGAGCAGCAGAAGTAGTGCAGCAGTCAGAGCAGCAGAAGTAGAGCAGCAGTCAGAGCAGCAGAAGTAGAGCAGCAGTCAGAGCAGCAGAAGTAGTGCAGCAGTCAAAACCTTGTTAAGCTTTAGCTACGACAAGAGTGGCGCCAGACTTGGTCTGAGCCCTGCACTCGAGTCCTGCCTTATTCGGTCTCGAGCGACACGGCACAAAACCTTTACACATACGCGACCGCGCCGTGTCCAGTAAACATACTCAACAATATGATAACCTTTGATAACCAAAACGACATCAATGTTATTTCGGTCGAGTTTAACCATCTATGGTGCAGCTAATTATTTACGAATTATATCAATAAGATGGCAGAGCTAAAAGTTGAGATATGAGAGAGAAGACAATGACAAACACATAATATAAGAGTAGATTGATTAATTATAATTATTTGTCGCACAAATGTCGTTTGATTCAATTACAAATGCAGATTCTTTCTATCCACATATGCATCATGAATAAACTTGAAACTGGAACATTATATTATATCCTAATAATTTAGGACTCCCAATAAGTATATTGTTCAATAGTCAATACCAAACACGCAATTGGCTCGTGCAAAGGCCGTACTCGAGGGCTCATTCAAGTCAGGTTAATAGGTTTAGTGAGGAGAAAACCGCTCACTCAATAATACCGAACATTAAATGATACCGAACAATATTACAAAGAAATTAGGCTCAAGCTACTAGAAATGTACGTGCAGTATTTTTTAAACCTAATAAAGCCTCGACCTGGGGAACATACGCGTTCACAATAATCATGCATTGAAGAAAGCTTTAGATAAGCTATTCCATACAAGGCATAACGCCAGACAATGAGGCTATTACTGTAACTAAATTAAATTGGCCAACCATATTAAATTATCAACAATTATCCATGTGTAAATTTTTGCTAACAAAGATGAATCAGAAAATCTAAAATCACCAACACCTTCGCGGAAATTGCAATGAAGATAAAAAATCTAAATTCCCCAGTCATAATGAACAAGTAGGCGACCTCATCAACAACTGTTTAAAAAAAGCATCTCAGCAAGGTTCAGATCAAAATTGTTCTATTAAATGTCAACAGTTCATCCAATCAGCCATATTTTACTCGTTTTTGTAATGCTCACATTCTTGCACTAATTTACTTGTGAAAACGCTCGAGTCAATTGCCAACGTTCAGGCCATCAGTCAATACAATAAAAAAAGAGGAATAAACAATGTTGCACAAAAAAGCCAGAAAATTCCAAACAAACAAAATCTATTTTCCGGCCACTTATAAGTGAAAACAATGAAGGCCCATGAGCGACACAACATTTATACTTCGAAGAACTTGTATGTCTACCTGTAAGATGTCATTTGTCTGATGTTATCACCTGATCAAAATAATATGTGCCTTTGCAAATACGATGCAAACTGACGACGTAGTATACTAATGAAACTAGTAACAGTTCTCAATGCTAGAAACGATCTCGCAGCACCAAGCTTAATGAAAGCCGATAAGTCTCGTAAGAAACCGAACAAGCTGACTATTTGCAAAGAGAAAGGTTAAATACAGGGAAATTTTTCAAACCGAATCAATTACTGCATATAAAGTGATAAAAACTTTCAAAGGAGATGAAATTTAAGACCAAGACGATCAGGCATCTCGTATTCGATTCTATAACTACCATGGAAAGGAAGAAGAATCTATACCCAAGACACACTTCAAGTGAAGTAAACATCCGTCGAGACATACCTTAGGACAAATTCTTATACATACTAATAACAGAATCAAGAAGAATGCACGGAATACCGAAATCAACTGAAAAGTATGAAACCAATAAGAAGGTACAGGTAACTACCAGCCATAAAAAAATTGTCAATACCTCATGACAGCAATGTAGTGTGATTGATGACAGCCATCATGTTAGAAAATAGTAAGGCAAAAAACCCTAGTGCGAATAATATTAAGAGAATGGTAATGCATTAGAGCTGGGCAGCGAATATCTAACCAAGAGTGCCACACAACACGAAATAGGACGCAGGCGCACACAACTCCCGCTCCTTCAAGCGCCAAGCGCAGACTGACTACGCAGGCGACGCGGCAGCAGGCAACACGCAACGCAACACGTGTGATGTGTTGCCTTGGTTACTAGAGACAAGAGTGCACCGTAGTCAAAAACTACCCTTCAATCGCATATGCGATGTAGATATCAACAAAATTCATATGAAAATTTATATTTTCTTAAATCAAATAAAACCTCACGGGCCTTGTAATAAGTTCAGCAGCTATCTCAAACAATTAATCGTCAGTTATGGAAAGATCTGGTTCCAAAGGCAAGATCCCTTGTGAATCAAGTCACGAAAAGTACAAGAATCGGCAATAGACTATGGGCCTATTTCTTCAGTGCCAACACTTTTATTCTATTCTAAAACAACTAGGACATTGCACGCACCTTTTATCAATTAGTAAAAAAATCAAAGCGATTAAGTGACTTAATTATTGCGTATAAATCACAATACAGGGACCGAAACTTGCAACCACGCACATGGTATCGGTAAGATAAGGACCGACACCGCAGCGCTTATGCAGGGCGTCGCCTCATAAGACGGCAAATTGGGCAGCTCGGAGCTCGATAGCTGAAGACAACAGCGTATCAACTTCACTTGCGTGACCATTAACTAAATAGAGTATCAATTATTTACACCATCTGGATTTAGTAATAAATCCTAAATGGTGTAATATGCATTATTTTGATGATTCGAAGACATCTTTCCAATATTGATGAAACTACGGGTAAAAAGTTGGTGCAGAAAATAGTTGGACATAAGAATACGTAGCAAAATTATGCAGTCGAATTATCGGTCAGCTTTCTTACAATTACTGTCAGCTTGCTTACAATTACTGTCAGCTTTCTTACAATCATAAATTCTAGTAGAGACTAGGCATCAATTAAAGCAAGCCTACACAGCGCTGGACTCCGTACGTCCGCAGCAGAGGTTCGGTGCAGCGCGCGCATGAGTCACAAGAGCTGCTGCGCATGCGCCGTGTGTGGGAGTTGCGTACCCACTGCCTCTGATGTCGCTACATAACACGAGTCAAAAACAATCGTAACAATCAAATAATGTATCCAAATAATAAGTTTACATGGAATACGTTGGTGCCAGAATAAATAATAATAAACGCTTGACAACCACGAGAGAGAGAGAGAGAAGAAAAACAATCGTAACAATCAAATACTGCTTTCAAATAATAAGTTCATATGTAATAGGTAGGTGCAAGAATAAATAATAATAAAAGCTTGACAACCACGAGAGAGAGAGAGAAGAAAAACAATGGAAACAATGTAATACGTTGGTGACGAATAAATAATAATAAAAGCTTATCAACCACGAGAGAGAGAGAGAGAGAGAGAGAAAAAACAATCGTA